TCTCTGTGACGCGCGGAGCACATGCGTGAACAGCCCTGCTGGCAGGTGGAGTCGAGACAGGAGAGGGGTACCCGAGTCGTCGTGCATCGTGCCGTAGGGTGGCCAGCTCCAGTCGGGTTGGTCGAATGTTTGCGAAACTCCTACCCACTGGGCCTCCTCCTTGAGGCTTGCGAGTGGTCTCGCAGCTCTTTGGACGTGGTGTCGAGACTGGCCTCTCTCCGCGCCTGTCTTCCGAGCCCGAACAGGGCTTCCAGTTGCGTGATTGCTCCAAGTTCGATAGCATTCCCAGGGTCGACGGGGTCGTGGAGAGCCCACTGTGAGATTCAGGCTTAACGGCCGCGAGCGCAGTGTAGTTGTCAGGGTTTCTGGCACTCTGGCTGGGCGATTGAATGTCGGTGCCAGTGGTGCAGGCTTTGGCGACGAGGGACCTGGCCGCCCGAGCTCTCGCTTGGGTACATTCGGGGAGCCGTCCGATACGTTGGAGTCCGGCGACATCCCGTCGTGCCCTGGCGTCAGCGGTGGCCTCCAGGTTCAGCCGGGCGTCGTCCGCAACGGGCGCAGCTTTGATGTGTTCCCCGACAAGCTTCACCTGGTGGCGAGCCTGCACTGGCTGCCCTCGAAGCTAAAGGGCGGCCACCTGGCAGCCGACCACTTTGCCAGGGTGGGTTTTGGTATGGCATCCGGTCAAAGCGGACGGTTTCGTCGATTGACGATTCGGCCCCCCTGGCCGCGGGGCCCGCGGAGTTGCGGTCGTCGACAATTTGTTGTGCTCAGCGTGCGGGGCGCGCGCCGGCGCTGTCGTTCGGTCCAAGTGTCCAATTGCACAATAGGAATTGAATGTCGTCAAGGGAGAGAACCGCCTTGAGGGTGCCCGCTGGCGCACGCCAGGGGACTGGGGCAAGCTCGCATCTCCGGTGGTTGTCGCGGAATTGGCACCTGACTCGCGCAATGTCGGGCGGGCACACTGCGTGCAGCGCCAGGTGTAGGCAGGTGTCCGAGACGAGGTAGTCGAAGGCCTTTTGCTGGTGCAGCGCAGCACCACCCAGGGGTGCTTGGAGGTGGCGTGGGTGCCGACGTGAATTGCCCATGCCCTTCGACTGCGCCGAAAACGGCACTTGAAACTTCCAGGTGTCCGTCATCTGGTAGAGCAAAATGCCGAGGGCGATGCCCACCCAAGGTTTTTGCGGTCTTGGCTGGGAGCGAAGCCGACGCATCTCTGATCTTCAAGGCGTTAGCCTGGGCAGCTCGGGCCCTTCCGGGCAGGAAGGGGTTCCAATTGGCTGCCGATGCTTGCCACCATTCCGACATGCGCGCCGTGCTTCACCTCCACGAGGGCGCGCGGCCTGGCCGCCCATCCCGTGCCGACCTTTGCGTGCGCAGGCTCCCACGCGGGCGTGTCCCGCAGTGCACCGGTGCGCCCAGCCGGCTGACGCGGCGCTGGTTCTGCGGGCCTGGTCTCGCCACGCCCCGGGGCCGTCCGCCTGCCCGTGCCAGAGCTCGCCGGCCAGCTCGGCTTCCAGGTCGTCCGACAGTGGGCTCAACAAGGCGATGGCCTGGTCCTCCTCCTCCTCCCTCCTCCCTCCTCCTCCTCCCTCCCTCCTCCTCCTCCTGCTCCTCCTCCTCCTCCTCCTCCTCCTCCTCCTCCTCCTGGTGGCGGAGGTATCCTCGCACGCTCTCGGCGCGCAGCCGCCGTCGGGTGGTCCACAGCCGCGTCGCCGGGCGGGGATGGGGTGCGCCCATCAGGCGCAAGTGGGAAGCATGCGTCCATGGCTTGATCGACGCAGTGAGCGATTGGCCTCGGCGGAGGAGATGGTTCGAGCGGGGGCTGGGGAAGTGCGGAGACTGGCTCCTCTAAAGGGTCAGGGGTGTCGCTTCCATGTCCAGGATCTCTTGTGCGAGTGCCTCCCTTGCTTTAGAATGCGGGGCACTAACGGTCTGGTGCTCTTCCGCTGTGGGCAAGGCGAGGACAGCCTCGAGGCGCTTCAGGTTCTCTACTGCTGTAATGTATCGTTCATTGGCTCCTTCCGAGCCTCGCGTCGAGTGCTGCTCCCAGAGGAAGACTCCCTCGCCATTTTGCGATCTTGGACAGCGGTCGTTTTGGGACCCTGGCCTCCTTCCACGGGGGGGCCCGTGAAGGGTCCCCGTTTGCAGCCCTCTTTCGCGTGTGCCCCAGCTTTCGCAGGAAGTTCAGAAGACTGGCAGGGGATGGTATATTTGGGCTGCGACGGTGAAGCCCCAGGGCCCGGAGACTTCCCCTGGGGGCGGAGTGTCGAAGGTGTCGCCCCGGCGGAGGTGATTTTGTCTTTGCCTCCAGGGAAGATCTGGCGGCCGCGTTCGGGGCGCTTTCGCCCACTCGCGGGCGGCTGCTGGGCGCTCGAAGCGGCAGGCGGCGATGTTGGCGCAGACGATGGCACCGGTGGCTCGGGGCCGTAAGTGCCGCGCTGCTCCCCGCGGGTGCACGTGGCCGAGTTGCTCCCTGGTGATGAAACAAATTCAAGTGGTGGCGTCGCCGCGACACTTGAGCCTGGACGGTAGCGGGGCGGTGGCTGGGAAAACTTGCCAGGGTCGCAGGAAAACCCTTTTTGGATCCCTAGAGGGCCCTAGGCGATCACAAGATGGCATTTCAGGAAGAACTGCCACATCGATTCTCATCTTGGGGCCTGCCATGGTCGCAGGAGGGCCCCTTATACTGCCGCAGGATTACCTGAGGAGAGATCCACAGCATAAATCTCCGAACCCGCCAGGCCCGCAGGGACTGTCCAAGAGGAGCCTCAGGGGCCCCGCCAAACGGGCACAATATTGACCCCAATGAAGATCAACAGTGTAGATATATGATATATCTTGGGCTGACGACCTACTACGTATATCGTTGTTCTGAGACCTGGTGGCGCCGCAAGAAAGTCTCCAGGGCTCGAACGGGCCCCAAGGGGGCCCGACGTCACAAGATGGCCCCACATCGAGAGCGTAGACTTGATCTTCGGTCGCCCCTCGACTGCAAAAACACGTAGACTGTGATAGTGATAGTACAGGTAGCGTTCATTCAATGCTTGCCCCTGGGCTTTGTATGATATCATGTGGGTTGCGACTGTGCAATGTCTCACGCGCTTCGCGTCACACCTACAAGTGCATGTGCGGCAATCTAACAGTTGTGCAGAGTCTGTGTCCAGGAGGCGCTTGCCTCGTAAATGGGGGAGTTGTGCAGGGCCGCCGGCATTGCCGTCGCGCCGTGTCCTGGAGGGCTGAACCTCCGACGCGACGAGAGTACAGCAAGAGCCGCCGGCATTGCCGACAGACCTTGTTCAAGAGGCGCTTGCCTCGTGGGCGAGGTAGTTGCGCAGGACCGCCGGCGTCCGGGCTGAGACTGGAGGGACGAACCTCCGACGTGTCGAACGTAAACGAGAGCCAGTGGCATTGCCGCCAGTCCGTGTCCAGGAGGCGCTTGCCTCGTAGATGAGTACATGCGCAGGGTCGCTGGCATTGACGCCAGGCTGCGACCCTGAGGGCTGAACCTCCGACGTGTCGAAAGTAAACAAGAGCTGCTGCCATTGCCGCCAAGCTGTGTCTAGGAGGCGCATGCCTCGTGGGTGGGAAAGTTGCGCAGGACCGTTGGCATTGCGGCCAGGCTGTGTCCCGGAGGGCTCAAAACTAAACCAGAGGCGCTGGCATTGCCGCCATGTTGTGTCCAAGGGGCGCTTGCCTCGTGGGTGGGTTGGTTGCGCAGGGCAGCCCGCATTGCCGCTTGGTTGAGTCGCGGAGGCCAAAATTTCCGACGTGTCGAAAGTCGACAAGAGCCGCTGGCATTTCCGCCAACCTGTGTCTAGGAAGCGCTTGCCTCGTGTGTGGGTAGTTTGCGCGGGACCGCCGGCATTGCCGCTAGGCTTTGCCCCAGAGGCCTAAACCTCCGACGTGTCGAAAGTAAAGAAGAGCTGCTGGCATTGCTGCCAGATTGCGTCGTCCTGTCATGCCGCGCGCGTTGTGTGCTTCGCTCTAATGCGCAGAGGCAGCGGACTTTGGCGACCCAAATTGTTGCGCCCGCCGCGCCGCGGCCTCAGGGTTCCCCGGGGGGGGAGGGGGGGGGCGTGCGTCCAAGCGGACTTTGGTGACCTAAATTTTTGTCCCCGCTGTGCCGCGGCCTCAGGATTCCTAGGGGGCCTCATAAAACGACGTGAAAGGCGGTTATTGCGTATAATTCTTAAAGGAACCTTTACTAGTCTAGAGGTCTGGAGCCTCGGGCTCCGACGTTACGAGAGTAAAGCAAGAGCCGCTGGCATTGCCGCCGGTCTGTGTCCAGGAGGCGCTTGCCTCGTAGGTGGTGTAGTTGTGCAGGACCGCCGGCCTTGCCACCGTGCTGTGTCACGGAGGTCGGAACGTCCGACGTGTCGAAAGTACAGATGCCAGATTTTGTGAATGCCTCCCTGGGGAGGCCGTGGTTGGCTTGAAAGTGAGGCCAACATATTCTACGCCGCTGTCGGCCAACCTTTCACTGGGTAAGGGGCTACTCCAGGGTGCTCTTCGAGTTCAGGTAACTCTTAGTGGCCCCCCGTGCGTCTCCTGAGCTTTTCCACTAACCCAGTAACGAGAGGCGCTGGCACGGGAAAGAAATCGATCTTCAGGGTCCCGCTGGCGTCGATCCAAGTCGATCTTCAGGGCCAGGAGGAGGAGGAGGAGGAGGGGGGGGGGAGGGGAGGAGGAGAGGAGGAGGAGGAGGAGGAGGAGGAGGAGGAGGGAGAGGAGGAGGAGGAGGAGGAGGAGGGGAGGAGGAGGAGGAGGAGGAGGAGGAGGAGAGGAGGAGGAGGAGGAGGAGGAGGAGGAGGAGGAGGAGGAGGAGGAGGAGGAGGGGAGGAGGAGGAGGAGGAGGAGGAGGAAGAGATGGAGGAGGAGGGGAGGAGGAGGAGGAGGAGGAGGAGGATGAGGATGAGGAGGAGGAGGAGGAGGAGGAGGAGGAGGAGGAGGAGTGACGGTGGGCCGCGGGGCCAGGAGCCTTCTTGGCGTCATTTTTCACGCGCGCAGCGGGTCCCGCAGACGCCTCGCAAGGGTCATCAGATGCGTCGCCCGCGTGCTTCCAACTGTCGGCAGGGCGCCCACAGGGAACCAGCGTGCTGACAAGTGTCTCAGGCTCGAGAGTCTCCCCAGCAGGGTCGACGGGACGCACGCCATTGCATCAGCATGAACTCGGCGATCATGTCCCCGCCAGTGGCGGCCGCACTGGGGTGGCTCGCGGCGCTCGGCTCGGTGCCGATGGCCCTCGGCGCCGATGGCCCCGCTGGCTACACGTGCGGGGCTGTGAAGGACATGTACAAGGATGCGGGGTGCTGCGGCCAGCCGGATGCAACCTTCGACGTCGCCAACTACCAGATCATCCCGGCGCCAGACACGAGCGTCATCACCACGGCCAACCCATGCGAAGGCACGAAGCCGACGGCCTCCGGCTTCGACAATTTCCCTTGCGCCGACGCAATCGTTGGTGCCGTCGAGCAGGCCGGCGCCAATGTCACCGAGGGCTACATGGGCGGCATGGCCGTCGATGCCACACCTTGGAACCTGACGTACCTCGAGGGGGGCCTCTGCCCGGTCAACGTGCACTGGCACTACGGAGCCGAGCACCTTTCCGTGGGCCAGTTCGACGAGGACGGCACCGGCAGGAATTTTTCCGAGGAGGATGATGGCGCAGAGGACCTGACGCGGCGCCTGGCAGTAGCCCGCCTCGGCTTCCAGTGCCACCACTTCGACGAGGCCGACCCCAAGTTCACAACCGAGTACGAGTGGGCGTACTGCGTCGGCATGCACGTCGGCGAGACCTACGAGGTGCACTGGCCGCACTCGGCCGCCGGCGCCTGCGGCACCCCGTTTCAGTACCAGACGCCCTTCTACGATGGAGTCTTCTGCAGGGGGGCGACCTACCTTGCCGGAGAGCTTCAGCACAAGGTCGGGGTGCAGGCGCAAGTGTTCGTCATCGTCAACGACGAGGACTACTTCTACCCCGACCTGATGAGGGGCATGATCATGGACCCGCTCGGCGCCCAAGGCTTCGGCGCAGACATCGCCTACTACACGGGCTCGACCACAGGCACGAGCCGCGACAACGAGATGTGTTCCGCGTACAGCCCCATCACTTGGCAGGTCGACCGCAAGTGCCACCTCATCTCTGCTTCATCCTTCGACAAGATGTGTGCGGACATGCTGCAGCAGAAGGACGACATGAGCGATGACCTCCATGCGCACGGGGCCCGCGAGCTCGTCAGTGACGAGTTGGCGGCCGACAACCTGCAGCGCTTGTAGGTGCATCTCGCGTGACGTAGTCCTGCAAAGCGCGACGAGCCTCGAGGCCCGCAGCTGCCGCCCTGTTGACCCCAATGCGGGACAATCTCGACCACTTCTGCCCCCTGGGCTGGTGGAATCTTGCAGGACTCAGCGCGCGGCCTCCGTGGGGCTCTCATTCTCTTCGGCGCTCGGCTCACTACGCTTCGCGGCCAGCCGTCCTGACGGGATGTCCCAAGCCAAGGTGGGATAATGGGCAACGCCCAGAAAACGGCTGTGAGTAGAGTTGCAGGAAACGACATCCTTCCTCAAGGTTCAGGGCATGCTGATTGCAGCAGCGCTGTACTCCAAACATGCTCAGAGCTTGGAAGTCCCGACAGGGACTCGTGGATTTTGGTGGAGGTTGTTTTTGTTGCGGATCTGTATCTTCTTAGCCCTCCCCGTGTCCTCGCCCTCCATACCCTGGCCTTCTTCGGGACTCGAGTTGCATGACTGCATGACCCACCTAATTCGAGCCTCGCAGGACTTGAAGCTTCTAGCGCTTTCAGACGTTGGTTCCCACGTCGACTGTGAAGAGCCTCGCGCCGCACAGCTGATCTGTTGGCCTCAATGTGCGCCAATCTCGATCCGTATGGCCCTGTGGGCCATCAGGATCTTGCAGAGACAGCCTGTGGGTCGGTGGTTGCTTTACAGCCTCCCATTTGCCATTCCAAAAGGAATGCTTCACGCTTCGCGCATCCCCACCAGCCCATTCCAGAACAGCAACTTGTGCGAAGCATGCCGGCCGGCAGTCGTGGCTTTCGGGCGCACCTCCTCCTGCCCACGCATATATCCTTCTACTTCTCTGGGTCTTTCGCTCTGGGAGCCTCTTGGAGGCATCTTGGGGAAATCCCGGGACCTTCTTGAGGATATTTTGGAGGTCTCTCGGCCCTTTTGGGGTTCCCGTGGTGCCTCTCAGGGCTCCCTTGGGGCTCCCTTGGGGCTCTCTGGGGGCGCTGTTGGGGCCCTCTTGGGGGGTCTTTGGGGGGGTCTGGAAGGTCTCTTGGGGCCATCTTGGAGGCGATCGATCAACACAGGGACGAGCACTTTTCTCTGTCCCCCCGTCGGGTCCCGAAACCCTATGAAATTACAGCATGCGGCGCCTTTTCGGCTGCCCATCTTGGACGCCCTGACCACCCGCGGAACGGCCTGTCCAGGTCCAGGGGTAGGGGGTAGGGGGAGGGGTAAACCCCTCCCCGAAGGGGAAGAAAGGGGTTGAGGACAGAGAGGGCTCCCTAAACCACTCACGCCTAGAGGGCTGGTGGGATTTGGCATTCAATTTCTTTGATCTTGTTCGTTTACGATCGTCCTTGTATATGATTCCTCGCCTAGACGAAGTTTTTACCTAACAGCTTGTTCTGATAGGTTTCTAATGGTCTCAAAAGGCAGCAGCAGATGACTCCACAGGGGGGTCTGGGCGGGTGCCGGACAGGGTGCCGCAGAAGTCGTTTTAAGCCAACAGTCACACACTTCGTGCTCTTCGACCTCCCAGAACTCCATTCCCGGGCCACATTCTGAATGCCCGGAGCCAACTGTAGGCCACTTCGTGCTCTTCGACTTCCCAGAACTCCATTCCCGGGCCACATTTTGAATGCCCGGAGCCAACTGTAGGCCACTTCGTGCTCTTCGAGTTCCCAGAACTCCATTCCCGGGCCACATTTTGAATGCCCGGAGCCAACTGTAGGCCACTTCGTGCTCTTCGAGTTCCCAGAACTCCATTCCCGGGCCACATTTTGAATGCCCGGAGCCAACTGTAGGCCACTTCGTGCTCTTCGAGTTCCCAGAACTCCATGCCACATTTTGATGCCCGTAGCCAACTGTAGGCACTTCGTGCTCTTCGACTTCCCAGAACTCCCATTCCTGGGCCACATTTTCAGCAGGGGCAAGAGCACGACGAGGAGGAGGACGAGCAAGACCAGGAGGACGAGGACGAGCAGGAGCAGGACGAGGAGCAGGAGGAGCAGGAGAAGAAGGACGAGCAGGAGGAGGAGGAGGACGAGCAGGAGGAGGAGGACGACCAGGAGGAGGAGGACGACCAGGAAGAGGAGGAGGAGGAGGAGGAGGGGAGGGGGAGGACTACCAGGAGGAGGAGGATGAGGAGGATGAGGAGGAGGAGGAGGAGGAGGAGGAGGAGGAGGAGGAGGAGGAGGGGGAGGAGGAGGGGGAGCAGGAGGGGGGGGGGAACACAGGAGGAGGAGAACGAGGAACACCAGGAGGAGGGTGGAAGGAGGAGGGAGGAGGAGGACACAGGAACACCAGAGGGGAGGGCGGGAAGGGCGACAAGAGAGGAGGACGAGAACGAGGAACGACAGGGAAGGAGGAGGAGAGGAGGAGGAGGGGAGGGGGAGGGGACTACCAGGAGGAGAGGAGGAGGGAGGAGGAGGAGGAGGAGGAGGAGTGGGAGGAGGAAGGACGAGGAGGAGGAGTGAGGACGAGGGGGAGGAGGAGGAGGAGGACGAAGGAGGAGGAGGAGGAGGAGGAGGAGGAGGACGAGCAAGACGAGGAGTACGAGAACGAGGACGAGCAGGAGGAAGAGGAGGAGGAGGAGGAGGAGGAGGAGGAGGAGGAGCAGGAGAAAGGGGAGGAGGAGGAGGAGGAGCAGGAGAAAGAGGACGAGCAGGAGGAGCACGAGGACGAGCAGGAGGAGGAGGAGGAGGACGAGCAGGAGGGGAGGGCGGCCGGCTGCCCCGGCCGGCTGCCCCGACCGGCCGCGCTTGCGCCCGGCCGCGGAGCGCGGTCAAGGGAAGGGGGCGGGGGCGGGCGGTCAAGGTTGATACCCCCTCCTCGCTCGTTCCACTGCCTGCTCGCAGCAGTGGCACCAGCACATGCACAAGAGATTCCTGCATGAACTGTTGTACTTGCATATCTGATGGCCTTCGGCCAAGGTCGTGCGCACCAGGGCTCTGAGGAAGGCTCCCTGCGCCCTTCTGGGGGGCCCCTCTGGGGAGCCCCTCGGACGAATTATTCGGGCCTTCTGCTCGCCATGTCGGGCCTTCCTGGGGGACAGACACACCGGACGAATTATTCGGGTCTTCTGCTCGCCATGTCGGGCCTTCCTGGGGGACAGACACACAAACATGGGCCTCTCATATGTGCGCGCCGACTTAGGGCGACGCATGTGCCTGGTCCAGCACGCGCGGTGCCCCCGGGGAGGGGTTGCGGTTTTGCCAGATTGTGAGGACGCTTCAGAGCGGAACGCCCCTCCACATCCTTCCTGATCCCTCACTCATTTCAACCCGCGCTCCCTCAGGTGCACACTGCCGGCGCCAGCGCGAAGATAACAAGCACCTGGGGGGCGCCCCGTTCCGCGAATCCC